CACGGCCTTAGATTGCCGTCTTTCTTGCCGGTGAATAACACTGGGGCTGCCCATGGGGAAGTGGTCCGTCTGATTGTCCCATTCGCCAGACCGTCCTGTACCATTTTCTTTAGAACTTCATCCTCCGCTGGAGATAGTGGTATAATTCTGCCAGCTTGAGGCGTAGCACCTGGAACCAGATTGACCTTGAAGTCATACTTTCGACGTGGCGGGAGAATCTGAGCGCTAGATTTGCGAAACATGTTAATGTACTTGTGATATCGGGCCGGGACTAGTTCTTCGACTGGTTTGTTGCTCTGATCCTTATGTTCCCTGACCGCGATTTTTGCTGCCGTTGACCAAGAAGTTTTAGCAGCGCATATGCTCGACTCGTAATCTATAGCACAGTTATTTGGAAGAGGTGTACGCTTGCTAGCTGCTTCAGGAATTATTTGGTGATTAACATTAGCACACTCACATTGCGGGGGTATTAGTGTATCTTTGCTGACATCAGCTCTGATACATACCCCCTCTTCACAATTCCTAGCGTTCCTCTCGGCGTCTCCTGGCACGGAGGATGTTTTCGGATTGGAAGAAACTGAGAATTCAGTTGCAATGGGATCCATTGGTGGTGTGGCTGGCGTATACGGTGGTCCAGTGGTTTCCAGTGGTGAGTCAATCTGTAATAGAGGGCCATCAAACTTGCAAGTTGCTCCAATATTAAGTTGTTCAAGATTTCCAAAAATTGACTCACATTGCGGGGGTATTAGTGTATTTTTGCTGGAGTCAGCTCCAATACATACCCCCTCGCTACTATTCCTAGCGTCCCTTGCGGGCTCCAAGGGGTTTGTCGGTAGCAGCGAAACTGCATTAGCAGTCGCAATACTTGTCGTCGGGTCTGCCATTAAGGTGCCCTTCGACCAGTCAATCCTGTGACCGTACTTACGAAACCACGGCATACCCAATAGGGCGTCGTAGGAGTCTTTGAGTTGTGTAACAATGAATTTTGTTGGTGATTGATCGTCGTCGATGGTGAGTAGGGCTTCGTCGGTGAGTTGTTTTGATTGACCGTCAAACGCTGATACCGTGCGAGGAGTCGATAGGGGATTTGTCTTAAATTCAAATTTCTTGATGAAGCCTTCACTGACCGCGTTGTGCGTAGCGCCGCAGTCAAGAAGGCATAGGGCAAAAGGGGTGGATGTGGCACGTTTGGGAGGGTAATTTTGGGACATTGGTAATAGTAAGAAAAACCGCGGATCACTTGCATTTCTTTGTAAGTAAGTAATAGCTCCAAAATCAATTAAATCCTCCTCAGTGCTCGAGATAGGCACATCTATCAGTCTCGAGCATCTCCATTTTTTGACCCATCAGCTCTACCCTTCCCCTTCCCTCCTAATTCAGCTACTAACGCCTCCAACTCAGCAATTCTCGAACTACTACCACCACTTCTAATAAAGTTTCCCTTCTCATCTCTTCTCCCACAATCAGCTGCTCTATGTCTCCCTTTTCCGCATTTATAGCATAATCCTTTCTCAGCTCGACGCGCCATCTCTTCTCTTGATACCCCAACTCTAGTAGCAGAAAGGTCCATAGCATCGGGATCTCTTGCGGTTGGGATTGTACTGGTGCGAGGTGTTGAGTGATTTGCTCCTGGGTGTAACTCGTTGTCGATAGCAATAGCAAACGTAGTGATGTCGGTCAAGGTAGTGAAAGTGCGTAAGATCATATTGATTCTAATTTCTTGCTTGAGGCCTATCTTGTAATGACTGATATGTTCTAACTCCCCCCAACCCGTGCGCGCCGCTAACGCCATAAATTTGGTTGTATAATCTGCCACTGAACCAGTCTGCTGTAGCGCTCGGAGGTCTCGTTGGGCTCGATTTTGCCGATCAGAGTCGAAGTAGGTAGCTTCGAAGCTCGCTGCAAAGCTCTCAAACGTGAGTTCTTCACCTTCCACAGGTTGGAGTAATCGTTTGAAGAATGGAGCAGCCCATTGATTGGCTTCGCCCGTGAAATAAGACAGGGTAAAAACGATTTTGGACCTATCGTCCGGAAAGGATTTGTCGTTCGCGAGTAAGTACAAGCCCACTTGATTCACGAACGCCTCGGCAGCGTCTCCCTTTGACCCATCAAATTTGTCTGGGGTTCCCACCTTTGGACCTCGTGTTGAGCTCATCAGGAGTTTGATGTCGGCAGTTGTAATTGACTCATTACCGCCGCGGGTGGTACTCTGCGGTTGTGGGTTTGTAGCAGCAGGGGTTGCAGATGGGGGTGAAGCGTCAGGAGGTAATGGAACAGTCGCCGCTTGCGCCGCGTCTACTCGCTGAGCAAGATCATTAAGTCGTTGCTGGGTTTCAGCCTGATTGGCTTGCCTTTCAGCTATTTCGGTGTCTAACTTCGAATTCAACGTCGTAAGTTGCGACAATATGTTGGCTAAGTTTGTATTAATGTTATCCATTACGTCGAGTTCGTCTAGATCTAAATCTTGCGCTGATACAGCCTCGAATGAGCTCTCTGAGTCGTGTTCTCCGGAATGCACTGTGAAGTTCGCCGTTGTTCTTGAGTTTATTTCTGAACCTTAAAGTATGCAAATCTTCAATTTTCAGATAAGGTTTGATTCAGTCGATTCAGTCGATGTGTGATTGAGATCTTGAATTGGGTTATCCGTCGTACTAAGATGAGACACTGCAATATGTTATGACCTGAGTGCGTAACGAGGGATAACTTGGAGCTAAGATGTGATGATCCCAGGATTGATTAACTGGATTGCAGTGTGAGGAAAAGACTAATACAACAAGAGCGCAAATGTCTAGATGGGTTCTATCTCAGTATTAGCATAACCCGCTATAAGGGTTATTACAGATTGACAATGATTGACCATGGTTGATGAAGATTGATGACAATCGACAAAGATTGAGGACAATTGACAAATATTGAGGACAATTGATGAAGGTTGAAGACAATTGATGAAGGTTGAAGACAATTGAAGACCATTGAAAACATTCAAAAAGGTTTGGAGAAGATTTTAGAAGATTAAAATCCTGTCTTTAGTTGGTCCAGTTTGATGAGTGGAAACTATGAAAAAAGAAGATTGAGGACGGTTGATGAAGAAAGAAGAAGATCGAGGACAGTTGACAAAGAAAGAAGCAGATCAAGGACGGATGACAAAGATTAAAGAATATCAAGGAAAATCTAAGTAGACTGAAGAAGATTGAGGACAATCGAAGAAGAAAGAAGAAGATCGAGGACAGTTGACCAAGATTGAAGAAGATCAAGGACAGTTGACAAAGATTGAAGAAGATCAAGGACAATCAAAGAAGATTGATGATGATGAAAGAGGTTTTGGAGGAGAGCAAGACAGGAAGGTACTTTGAAGCTCTTGATACAGAAGGTAGAATGTCTCCGGTCGGAGGTGTTGATACCTGTGAGACTGAGCTTGTAGCTGGCTGGCCAACATGCGGTTTTTGGCTGTGGTAGAATCTAACATTGTTGTTTGAATGTTACAGTTTCAGAAATGTATTTTATGGTTTTTGATTTTGATTTTTGATTTTTGGTTTTTTGATTTTTTGGTTTTTGGTGTTGCTGGTACTTTTTGTCAAAAGGTGACAATGCAATGAAAATGGTGTTGACCACTGGAAATTTGGGCAAAAAGGGGTTTCTGCCTTGATTTTTACTCCAGTCACTGCCAGCATTAAATAGGTTCCCTGGTAGGAACATGACCTAGGCTGGGAATATAATTGAGAGAAGAATGGAGCATCAAATCATCTTGCACTGTACATCTGAGCCATAAAGCATACACTACATATGTGCAAACATCTGAGTAAATCCTTAGCTATCAGCTACATACATGTCCGCTCAGTTATCTGCTCATCTAGATAAGCAAATCATGTGCAATACATGCTGTAACTTTGTTCAGCTTGAGACACACATTTCAAAATATTGACTACATATATCACAATGGTTGCTCAGGAAATATACATGGAACTGTGTAACAGTAGCAGAATGGGAATATGATCCCTACCACCCATATTCCCATCTGGGAACCTCTTTAATGCTGGAAGTGAGTACAGGGGTTTTATCCCTGTATTTGAGTATTTTCTGTAGTTTTGTCTTTGATTTTTGAATTTCGCACCCGGGAATTGTGATTTTTGATTTTTGAAATTTCGCATTGTCACTTTGGAACGTCTCGCATTCCGTAGACATGTACACATGTTTGTTATGACCAGAAATGGGGTCTTTTGAACCTGTTAGTTGAAGCCGATATTCTGAGCAACCACAAAACTATACACGCAAATTTAATATGTACCTCTCAGTACTTAATGTCTCTAACCGGCAATTTTGTTTGTGCTCAACTCGGTTGTAGATATATGCTCCGATACATTTTATATTGTTGGAACAACTGGCTGCCACCTCAATTTTCTCTAACAGATATGCTCAATAAGTTCACTGCTACTTTACTCAAGTAGCTGAGTTGTTAAAAAGAAATGTATTGCTTTGAGTGCCAGTGTATCATACCCAAAAGCTGTTGTTCGGCTAAGCTTGAATTTTATGAGAAATTGAGCAAAGTCGGGAGCAACCGTATTGGAAGCTACATTTGCACATAGAGTAGAAGATGTCGAAATTAAATTGAAATCCACTTGATTCTTGAGTTGTAAAAATATGAATAAGAGGTCAGATTAACGACGATCGAAAGCCCTAAAAACAACTATACCACACGAATAGCGAAGCTCCCCGTGTATAGTGTTTGCCTGACAAACACATCATATAGAGCAACTTACCCAAATACGAAATCGAAGAAACTGTTGGGGACACATGAAAATGGGATCGGCCGAAGATTAAATGTCATGCAATTTGAGAATATATCAATAGGTCGGGTGAGTGCAAGCAAATTATATGTTACTCGAGTCAAACTATAGGCATTTGGTACCTCCAAGTCTAGCTTCTTTGTTTAGTTAAACAGATACATCTGTGAATAAGCTATTTGCTGCTTCAGTTCATATCTTTTATCCACAGTTTTATACATGCCTTCTGCAACAGCTCTTCCAGTTGAGGTGATCGACAAAATCTTATATTATTTCTGCGGTGATGCGTCATACAAACCAACAGACGACTACAATAGTGCCAAAGCGTCATTTCTAAATCAAAAAACAGTTAAGGACTTACTCAGCTTACAGTTATTAGGCCACAACTGGGCAGCAGCAGTTCAACATATTGTGTATCGTTCTCTATACTTGACGATTCCGTGGGGAAATCAGTTACTGGACAAGATTTCCAGCGGCAATATGTTCTTTTCAGGAATACCACGTCTACGTCAACTCACTTTAAATCATGTTATGTACAAAGGCGACGTTGGTCCAGGATCTTTCTATGAACGCATCAAAGATGAGAATATGCGGAAATTGGAACTCGAGCAACAGCGTTCGTCAACAAAGTCTTTTTTCATGCAAGATGCTGCCAAGATCATTACCTTATGCGGTTCAAACCTAACTGATCTCAGGATAATGTTCACCAACTCAGTCGGATTCTCGGATGATCTAATCGTTGCTATAAAACAAATCACGAATCTGAAAAACTTGGCGATTGAAGGTGATGCCTTTCACAACCCGAGCAACAACTCCAACTCATTAATCGCAGTGCTAAACAATGTGGATAACCTCGAGTCTTTATCCCTTAATTTTGGTACTTTGGAATCGTTAAATCTGAAGATGAAAGCACTGCCAAACTTAGAACACCTTTGGGTGGGTTGTCACACCATGAACATCGACGCAATTGTTGATTTTTGTGAGACCGTAGGCAAAGGAATCAAGGTGCTGGAGTTGATGCCAACGGGCAACAATGAAGATTCAAAGCGGGTAGTAATCGCACGCAGAAACTCGCTACGAGTGCTATTCACAGATACGCTTCCGTGTTACCTACCTCAATCTCTTCATATGACACGTTTTCCAAAACTGCGCATCGTCAGGAACCTTTATCTTGACGGCTTAGTTAGGCACCCGGATTGGTTTGAGTGGCCTATGTTTCAAACGGTCGAAATCTTTATCACACGTTATCGAAGAGGCTATGCTTACTGGCAAGAAGATTTAGACAAGATTATGAAACGTCCAATGCCACCAAATTTAAAGCACTTTGTCTTTTTAATTCATCAAAATACCTTACGTAAGGAAACAAAGTTAATCCGAGCGTTCAGAACCCTTGGGGTTTGTTGCCACTTTGTAACTAAATTATCTCATTACGATATGATGGTAAGCGGATTTTTTAACTTTGAACTTCGGGTGGTATGGGATGCTAATAGATGTTGAATTGATTACCGCAGGATTTAGTTACGGAGCTCGAGAACCAGAAGAAAAACACAGCAAGAAAGGAGAACGCTATGATAGTCAGTTGTCTGTTTGAGCCCAGTTAATGCAAGATGCTGATGAACCTTGAACTGTCTTAATACTCCACAACTAAATTACAGGACTGAGAGCTTATCCAACACAACAACCCGAAAATAAGATGCCAGTGTAGTTAGTTGTATCAATTCAGCGATTCTTTCACATTGAGTATTTCCACTACAAGTTACATTTAAGTAGTTGTTTTGTTTGACTATAGAATTCCATTCAGAACTAAGTTTTTTGTTAGTTGACGTAAGAAGAACAATCGCCGTTATTGATGATAATTTATATGCTCCTCCATCTAAGTAATTCTATTGAAAATAACAATGTTGTGCTCGTGCTGATAACATTGGTAAAACTTAAATAATAACGCGCGCGTAGGATGCTGATCTGAGATGGAGAGTAAATACAATGTAACACCTCCAGAGTCAGAAGTGACCAAAGCATAGACCATGCTACGTTGAAGTGATAAGTTCTTTGTATGTTGCAGAAGCAAAAATTGGATCTCAGCGAGCATTGCAATGCCTTTGGGTATTTTTGTACAGCATGAGTAACTACTTGACTCCACCACCAGCGAAGTTAACAAACCTCAACAACAAAACACGACCTAGGGACTTAATATGGCAATTGCATTGAGGTCAGACGTTATTCGAAGTGAGCGGATGTGTATATACAAGGCTCTAATAAACTAAAGTAAACTCTTTAACATCTTCTTTTCGCAAAAAGCATGGACTGTTCTATTCAAGCGCCGATTCATAAAGCCCGCCAAATTACCCAAATTCAGTTGAGAGACTACCAGAGAAAAAAGACAAAGCAATTCAAGCAAACCAAGTCGCTTATAATTGGGGTCATCAGGGGATAATCAGATGGCTGAAAGATCAAACTATCAATTGGGTATACAAATGACGCTTATCCTCAGCGAGACAAGAGACTGTAGCGTCAATATTTCAACGTCATGAATTGGCCTCAATACCCATGATGCATGCTCGCGATCAATTCACCAGGCAATATCTACTGTTAATTCAAATGGAATAAAGTAAAATTCAAATACCTAATTGAATTTGGGAATCACATTAATAACTATAAAGAGCTGATAAAGGTTTATAAATTCTAACTGGTAGGACTGCGTTTGCCCCCTGATGAAAGCAGCGTAGCACAAAATGCCTTATTCGCCTTCCCTCCCAGTAGAGGTTGTAGAACGAATTATCAGCTTCCTCTGTCCCAGCTATGGTGCAACAACTACGGAATCATTGAATAGCGCAGACCAACCTTTTCCCGATCCATTGTCAATCAAACAATTGCTAAGATTGCGTTTGCTCGCCAGATCTTGGGCAGCTGCCATTCCACGATTGGTTTATAGCTCTCTACATTTAAGAACACCTCTAGTCAATAAGTATATCATCAAAATGTGGAGTAATTGCTTAACTGTTTCCGATTTATCCAACCTGCGTTGACTATGTTTAAATCAACTCATATATATCCCAGCTTCGAAAGCCGATGGATATCATATGGCCCTCTCGGATGAATGCAGTGATCAGTTTGAATTTGAATATAGTCGTTGGGAACGTAACTGCATCTTTATGCCGGACGCCGCAGATATCATTAGTTTGTGTGGTTCAAGGTTAATTGATTTGAAGTTGATATTTTCTGGCTCAGTTGGGTTTTCGGATAGCATGGTGGTTGCGATTAAACGTATCAAGAATCTCAAAACTTTATCAATTGAAGGAACTTTAACACGATGCGTTAGAAATGACTCAACATCCTTATCTGCTGTATTGCAAAACAGCCATACTTTGGAATCTTTGTCCTTGAGATTAATTAGTTTACCGCGCTTGAAAATGGAACCTGGATGCTTACCGAATCTATCGCATTTTTGGATCACGTACCACCGATATAACTTAGATGCGATCACTCAACTGTTTCTGAATGGTGCTAAGCAAATCAAACTCCTGGAACTCGAGGCTCCTCAACGACCTACAAACCACAAGGCGATGATTATGGCATTGAACGAAACACTTGAAGGAATAACTGTCAACACAATCCCGGATGATCTCCCTCGTTCAATCCGAATTAAATCTCTACCCAAACTTTGAGTCATCCGCTGCAAAGACATCCATCCATCAAGCGAGCGTCCAATTTGGTTTGAATGGGCGATATTCAGGACACTTGAAGTTATCATCACCAGCTACTCCAACGACAAAGCGTACTGGGTGGAGGTTTTGAATTCACCGGGTGGACCTAGCTTGAAAGAAGCCAGCAAATTGAAAACTTTCATTCTTATGACCGCGAGTCATAATCACACCGAAGAACTTGAGATAGCGCACTTATTCAGTACTTACGGTATCAATTGCCACTTTATGCCCGATATAACTCATACTGAAATATTAGTAAGTTCTATGCAATCTAATTTGTCCTTCTTCAAGTGGAATTCTTGCTGAATTAGTTCTTGATGTGGAACAGGACTTGATGGGCGGAAAGAGTGAGCAAGAATCGTAAGCAAACGAATAGGATCAAGTTCCGTAAGTAGTTCCGGTACATGAATATAGCTCTTAACTACATACACTAACGGAGTAATTTAGTTAGGGCGATTGATATCATTCAATGAGCATATTTCAAAATGAAAGTAGCAGATAGAGTACGCGTGATGGAAGTTTCTAAGGCCACTTGACTACTTTTTACTTTCTAAATTGCCTCAGAGGCATTGCCAAGTTGTTTTGTGCATGCTAAATAATAAGTAGAGCTGGAGTACTTCAAACTCGCTGTGTAATAACTTTTATTCTTGTTGTTGAGTCCTTCAATTTGTGCAGAAAGTATAATTTTGATGCAAAAGCACAGCTACAATGTTAGCAAAGTGAGTCAGGGGTGAGTGGTAGGTGGCCGCAGATGCCACGTCCGGTGTTAAGCAATTCAGTGTTCTTTGGAAACCTGTCTAGAAGTGGAAGCTTTCACATGGTGTTCCACCGAGGCAAGATATTTCGCTGCCGCAAACCAAGTTGGCAAAGAATTGCATAGACCAAGAGTTCGAGTGCGGCGCCCGCCGCCCAACTTGGCTAGTCCATGTTAACGGCAAACATGCAATTCAAACAAAACCAATAAAACCTCCACCGACTCCCCCAACAAGAGTGAGTTTTGCCCAGCCAGAGTTTCAGCCTCACAATGATCACTTTCCATTCTCATATTACCTTGAATTGATCCATCCAATCTATCTGTCAATTGGTTTACACAATTCATCTTTTCACTATCTCCTGATCACCATTTTCTTACAAAGAACTTCAACTCACCTCTGCTTACAATCCACTCAATAACAGGTCAAATTTTCTAAATCACACACTGTAAGCTCTTCAAAGTAGAACAGATATTTAATGTGAAAAAGTATACAACTCTTCAAGTGAGGCATACATCTATCAACTGTGTAATGTTTTCTTCCAAACCTTTTTCTTCTATCCCTCATCCACCTAGAAAAAAATTGATCCAAATCAATTAAATATCATCAGAAGCAACAATCTCAGTCATTCCAATTCAAAATGAAATTTATCTATCAATCATGCAAATTTAAAAAAACTAACAAATCAAAAAGATCACAAACCGACTTAAAAAACAGCAAAGACAAAGATAGAGATTGAATTGAAGTACAATAACTATATCACCTCATTGAAGTGTTAAACAGTTGTGATCAAAATGTCTCATGAACAATGAATATGAAATCCCAATCAAATCAACAAAAACATCTGTTGATCTTCAGCTATCAATCCTATCCCACCCAGATTGATGTCACATCAACAGGGATTGAAAGTAAGTATTGTCTTAAAATGAATTTCATATGATTGCCTCACTGACCTCTTTGGAAGTGTTCTCACAAAAATCTACACCACATCAAACAACATAGTTTTAATCAGAACTCTGGGCTCATTCAAATTCAACCTAATGAACAAATGAACTCAACTATCTTCAATCTGATCCAAACTGAATCTAAATTTGTAACAAATTGACTTCAGGACATACATAGAAACAGTTTCTTATCATAAATTTGAAAGTCAGAGATCCTTTTAGCGCATCTACCCCCAATCAAAACCCAGCAAATTATCTTAACCAAAGAAGACCTTTGACCAATCTACATTCAAATCACAATTGCACCCAATTTGGACATCTTGATCAAAATTCAGTGCAAAAGCGCAAACAAAAGTGGCAGATGTGCTTGGAACATCAACAAAATCTACACTTTGCTTTCACCCTATTGTCAAATGCATGACAGTAGAATATTTCACCTCTTATTATAACATATGTTTCAGATTGTGCTCTCAATGAAACTCATCAATAATTCTTCAATACATGAATACCCATCATATTCATCATGAACTTGACAACCCAAACTCTAATATACATATCAAATTCAAAGCTCAGCACACATCTGATTGTATAACTTTGGTTTATTTTTAGATTTCAAATCCCTTGATCATGTTCTTCATCCAATATCAGAAGAAAACCATAAAAGTCTGATACTTCTTGATGAATAACTGTAGCCTCAAAGTTCTTAGTCAGTTTAAAAGACTATCCCTTACCCGAAAATCAAACCCAAACAGTCAATATAGCTGATATAATGAAAACTTGTTCATCAGTTCATTGTGAGTTTGGATTCTCCATCTTTGTTAATTGAAGTTGGCAAGTCATGAAATATGTAATTATTTCCAAGATTTATCAATCAGCTCAATGTCTATTCTAGAGGTTTATTGTGAGGGTTGGGTGCTCTGCTGAGGACTCAAGACTCAATAAATGGGCTAGGGACAGTTTATGATTCTAAGTAATTATCTTTTGTGTTTTAAATATGAAGTAAATACAATTAAAATTATGAAGAAAAGAGAAAGGGGGAAGGAGGACTGGTCTGTTTGGATAAATCCAGACAGACTACAGTTAAATGACTCCTCAAAAGGAGATTTTAATACAATCATAATTAATTACAAATAATGAAAACTGGATCCAAGGTCTTCCTTCAAACCTCTATTGACAGAATGAAGAGTGAGGTCTAGATCACTACACTGGTTGTTCTTATGGTCACCAACCTAAGTACTTGTATATAGGACACTACCCTTTGATTTGTTGAAGGTCACCAACCTAGTAAAGAATTTACTTGGGGAA